CGCCGGGGCTACGCTCTGCGGGCCGGGGCCCAGGCCAGGCAGGGCGAGCAGCTGCAGCGGACTGACCACCTTGAGCACCGTGCTGCCGTCCTGCACGGCTGCCGTGCTCAGCACCGTGAGGCTGGGGGAGTCCGGGTGGAGCTCCACTGTGCTAGGGAAGGCGGAGCCCGAGGCAGCCAGCACCGTGTAGCCCCCGAGCAGGGGAGAGGCTGGCGAACTCGTGGGGGCGGGCTGAGGCGAGCCCTTGCTCAGGACGGTCGAGGGCAGGCTGGACACCACCTTGCCCAGCGGCACACCGGTCAGCTGGGGGACGGGCACTCCCGGGCCAAGGGCGATCTGGGCAGGCGGGGCGAGCACCTGTGAGGCCACGGCGGCCGGTCCTGAAGTGGCCCTCGCGAGCCGGGGCCGCTTTGCGGGGGGCGGCAGGGAGACGGGCGCCAGCGTCATGAGCACGTTGCTGAGGTGCTGCGACTTGTGCTTGAGCTCCGTGGCGCGCCGCCGGTGCTAGTCACACTGCTGCTCCAGGGCTGCGGGGGGACAGCGTCACCACGGGGATGGGCACAGGGCGCTGCGGGCTGAGCGTGGGCCCGGGGACAGCCAGCGCAGGCAGGCTGGCAACCGCGCCTGTCCTCGCCCTGGAAACCTCTGCCCGCTCACCTCAGAGGCCCAGCAGCTACCAGGACCTGTGCCCTGGGCCACGCCCGCCCGGGGCACTGAGGCCGCGCCCAACTTCTCTCCTGCCTGACGCACCCCCGGGCTCCAGGGCAAGCTCGCCTAAGAGGCGAGACGCAGGGACGTAACCGCGCGTACCTGCCAGGTCCCGGGCGTACTGCTCCCGAGAGCGGTCCACCTGGCACTTGTGGCCAGCCAGCACCTTCTTCACCAGGTCCAGCATGCCGAAGCTCTGCACGATGTTGTTGAGGAGCACGGCATCTTCCAGGGCCAGCGGACACGTGAGCGCCAGGCCCCCGCGGCCAGCACCCGGGTGGGGCCCGCCCAGGGGACAGCACCCAGAGCGGCCCTCTCACCACACCCCTTCTCCACCCCAGCCACGGGATGGCCCGGGGGCCCAGGACCCCCGCGGGACACCTCCCTCACCTCGGAGCTGCAGGGGCGGGTCGCGGGCCCGCTGCTGCAGGCCGCGCATGGTCTCCACCAGCTCCTGGTGGAACTCCCGGATGACCTCATCCAGCAGCCCGGCATCCCTCAGCCCCCGCCAGAAGGAAAACGCGTCATCTGTGAGAGGAGGGGGTTAGCGGGCAGGAGGGGTTGGGGTGGCGTGAAAGCAGTGCTGCAGAGGCTGGCAGGCAGGGAGGACAAGGCCTGAACGGTGGGGTGGCCGCCAAGCTCCACTCTCCCTGTGAGGACCCCATGGGGCCCAGCTGGTTCTTGGAGCCAGGCTGGGGCCTGCAGCAGCCGTGGCCCATGGCCTCCACATGCACGTACCTCCGATGGCCACGGTCCAGTCACCGGGGTCTTCGCAGGTCTCTATGGTGATGGTTGCGGGAGACCCGTTCACTGCAATGGGCAGAACGGCTGTGAGTGTCCCCGGACCAAGTGTCTACGGCTCTTAGGCTGCCTGTCCCACGCTGCGCTTTCAATCTCTCCTTCTCACTTTTTTTTTTTTTTAATTATTTTATTTATTTTTATTTATTCATTCATTTATTTTTAATTTGCCCATAGAGAGACCAGAGAGAGAGAGAGAGTGAGAGAGAGGAAAAGTGATAAAGCAAGCCACCAGGTCTCGGACTTGAACTGTGGTCAGCCATGTGGGAGTGCCCAGCGCCTTAACCACCAAGCCACCTGCTGGTCCCATCCTTTTCACTCATTTTCACAAAACTGGTAAAGACAACAGGCACAGTGCGGCCACGCCTTCCTGCCTCATGCTGCAAGTTTCCTTTCGTCTGTCTCTTTCCGTGGGGAGAATGTGCTCACTGGAGACAGGCAGCTGAAGAGAGTGAGACAGAGGGGGTGGCCACGCTGCAATCCCTCCTTCACGCTCCCCTTGGGATTTTGGGCATGCCTGGCATGATCCTGAAGCTGCTGTTCCAGAGCTCGAACCGTGCGGTCAGCCCCGCGGGATCCAGGACCCACCTCCGTGCACTGGCCATTGCAGAGTGCAGACACACCCGGGGGGGCCAGCCCGAGCACCACCCGCCACCACTCTAGCACCATGTCCTCGACAACCCGACAAGCTCACGCAGGCGGCCTGGTCTCCCTGGCTGGAGGCCACCTCTACCCGTTCGCGTCACACGGCGTCATGGCCACGGCAGATCTCAGTCTGCCCTACGTCCATCGTCCTGAGTCAGAGGGGGGACTTCACGAAAGACAAACTGCCCGTCCCGGTTCACCCTGTGAGTCCATGTTTGGCGTCCACAAAACACGCCTGCTGGGCCAGCAGGTGCTGGATCACGTATGGCCAACTACATGCCAGTCACCGTTGGCGAGCCTGTCCAGGCGCGCCGTGACGTGCTGCCCGTGAGCGTTACCACGACCTGTAATTATCTCGCACGCCGACACGCGTGTTCCCGTCTGGGCCACCACTGCCCACGCTGCCATGTGTCCCGCCATGTCCCCTGGAGGGGCTCTCACCTGACAGCCCAGCAGCCAGCCTGGGGCTTTGGTTGGAGAAGAGCCTCACATCAGACCTCCCTGGTCACTGAGGAAGGGCTGGCAGACCAGCCCACGACCACAGTGACCAAGGTGTCCCCAGCCGCTCAGGGCTCTGTGTGGCAGCCTGCTCGAGCAGGACACAGGCAGAATGAGGAGACCACTGCCACCCCGGGCCTGCGCTCCCTCCCACCAGAGACAGGGACGTCCTGCTCACTGCAGCCGACGCCCTGGGAGACAGGGACAGGGTGACAAGGACACCACAATGGGCTGCGTTTCACTCTCGCTTCAGCTCTGAAAGGGCTTCTCCACTTGCAGCCAAGGGCCCGGGGGACATTTAACCTTCTGCCCTCGCCAGAACCCCGGCCGTCAGGGAGACCCGAGCACCGAGCAGCGCCGGGTGCTGAAGTCACAGGCCGCTACCATCTGCCAGGGCCGGCGAGTTGTTCATCATAAAGATGGCCGGGCAGAAGACCCCACTCCTCCCAGCTTTGGCCTTTGGGAGGAGGCCGCGTGGGAAGACAGCCACCCACAGACGCCTGGTCCCCAGGGCCCTCGGGTTTGTCCGCCTCTGCGGGAAGCCATGAGGCCCGGCCAGCGGGGCGCAGATCAGGAGCCGTGTGGACGAGAGGCGGCCTGCACCTACCGGCCGGCGGGGCGGGCGCGGGG